CTGTAACAATCTTCATCGCTGAAGCATGTGATGCAAGACAAGGAGAAAATTGTGATGCCAAGGAAACAAGCAATGTGTTAATAGCGTGCTAACCGCCCTTTTGGGAATGATCTGGGACACTTGCGGTTTCTCGCACATTTAATCATTCAGCGACACTGTCCTTAATTCCAGAGTTCAAGATGCTAGGTTCGTGGGGAGTTGATCAAGTGACTGATATGATGTTGCATCTGATGATATGACATTTAGCTCACTATTTCTGCCACCCCTACATTATCTTCAGATGTTCTCTGTCTTCTTGATAAGCGAGGTTTTATTGTCATTTTCCACACCTGGTCGTACACCTGTCCGACTATATAGGACGTAAACTTCAGGGTATGACCTTGTGAACCTCCTGTCTACCTAGTGACGTAATCTGGGATCCTCCCCATGCTGCTGCTCATTATGGTTTTACCAGGTAGTTTCCTAAATATACGAGTACAGTGGAAAATGGATTTGCCAGAGGCCTCCTATGTACCTTTGTGTTCTTAGCCATCTGTGTTACTGTGCGTCTGACCTCTTTCCTTGGAGTTGCATGCTGCAATCCGGCTTATAAACTATTCTTTTAAAATACTCAGTACCATACATTTTAAAATCCCTTGATCCTTGGTATGGGTATTGTGCCGTGTATTAGTGATGCTGATGGCATGGCCGTCTTAAACTAGGTAGTAACAGATTGAGTCCCTCCCTAGAATGTCAATTCACAGAGATAATGAAAAAAAGGTTATTAAATGTATACATGTTATCTCGTTTTGACCTAACCAATGACAGGACACCCAGCAACATAGAGTAACAGAGAGGGAAGTGTTCTCAAACAGCTGAATAAACCCTTTCTGGCTAGTGGTCCACTGAGTGAGTTCAATAGTCTTTATATAATCTGATTTTGTGTGTCAGAATACATGTATTTCTTTTAATTATGGATAGATAGAATTCGAGGGATGTAAACCTCTTTAATGGTACATCAAAGTGCACGATGCACACGGCACATGCACATGTTGAAATGGCTGGCCTCTGCATTTTAACCCTTATTCCTATGATATCGTAGGAGTAAGGTGTAGGGAGTATTGTAGGGGGGAAGGGGGATGTCCGGTGACTGCTCAAGGGCACCAGGCCAGGTGAACTGAACCCATTTTGATTTGGCGTGTGTTTGTTACCTTTATAAATAATGTCCCGTTGAAGATTGTATCATGTGCACACTTAGGTTATACAACTTTTTTTTCCTTATGTTGGTCT